ATAAATTACTATATCAATACCATAGAATTCCACAATAAATTATCAAGCTTAGTAACTAAGCTGTATTTCGGTCTAAACAATATGAAATTTTGAGCAGACTTGAGACACAACCTACCTCCTTGAAATCTTGGTTCGAAAGAAAGAGATGGCATCCAAACACCTTAAAATGGCTAGAAAGCCATTAGAGGGACATTCTAAGCTTTTGATTTGTTATTCATGTCATATATAGAAGTAAGTGTATATAAGAGAGCATTTCCAAAAATGAAAAGAGGTGGACAGGGTGCCACTGTGTGTGATTTATTACATGAGCAATATCTTAGCAAACTGAAAAGACAAGAGGCTCTTATTTTATATTCTAGCTTGTCAATATCGGTAATTTGAGTTCCTAATTCATACATAACTATAGACTTAGTATTTTGACATCACAAACATCTAATTTGAACCATGATGCATTCAACATACCACAGAAATCAATGTTTAACTGTGTTTTTTTAATAATTACTTTTAAATTAAGAAATTGAGTAAGGTATAATACTAAAATTTGAATTATAATCTACATATCGATACCAAACTTATTGACATAAATTGATGAAATAGTAGATCAATAAAATTTTGAACATGAGTCAACAAACACGATGACATGGCCTTTCACCCGTAACCCGTACGGAAAGGGTTAAACAGCCTATAACACTGTATTTAAGAGCAATTATTGTCATCAAAATTGTCTACATTTAATCAAGTTCCAGTTATTCTCATTATAACAAAATTTCCTGTTCTGACCAGTGTTGTTAAGTCATCTATTTTATTTCTTATACTCCTACCATTACAGTAATAACACTTTAGTCTATCATTAAAACTAACTTTGTCATTTGTTCCCAAACCACACCCCTCTCTGCATCATATATTTTCTTCATTGTTCTGGTCATCTTCACTGTCTAATCTTAGTTTAAAGATGTCCTTACAGTTGAGCTAATAGCCCTTACACACAAGCCAGCCCTTACCATATTTAAATATAAACCATCCATTTCAAAAAGCTCCTTTTTCCCACTGTAACGAATTTATTATTATATATTTATTTTAATATCAACATTTGTTTCGATTAACTTTATATTTAAAAACATGCATAGCTTATAGTGTTAGATATATATTGCGAAACTTCCACCTATTCTCCAAAGTTGTAGAAGATTCTCGTCAATAAGAATCAACAATTTACAAAGTTTGAACATTACAAATCATTTAACCTCAGTGAATCCTCACCCGACATTAGTATTTTTACATAAGTATTATATAAATTCATTGTGGAAAGCTCATCGTGTGTGGCTGGTGAATAACGAAGGATAAAGCTAGCTAGCTTCCCGTTAAGTGAATTACACCTACGTCAACTCATAATCAACTCGCTCATCATGAGCCCTCGATAAGATATCGAAGAAGTTCCAGACTAGAAAGAAGACTTTATATTGCTTGTAAGTTTGTGAAACTTTTATTTATAAATCATTGTTTGTAATAACTGTTATTGTAAATTGTATTGTTGTGTGTGTATATTAAAATGTATACGTGTTAAAAAAGAAAGCTGTGTGTATCAATCTTGTTGACAAATATCATAAACCGACTATATATCAGCTTTTACTTAACTCCTAAATCCAAAATACAATTTAACTAGTTAGTTTCAGACCATTCAAAATTCTAATACATAACACCACTGAACTGATTCTACAAATCCAACCAGGTATGATCAATGGGTAGTAAATCTGAGGATACAAAGTTTGACAAAACTTACACTGAACAGTACAAGTAAAGAGCATGGCTGCATATCCTCTGAAAAATGTGTATGCATATGTCAGTTATTTCAGAATAGCATGATACTAACAAAATGTTTGTGAATTTTTTTGGTAAAAAAGTTAATTACATTATTAACCTTTTCCAAACTGGAAGGATATCCTCAGCATTTCTTGTTCTTTTTCCTTCCCACAACAGAAAAACTTTTAAAAATTGTATGAAACTTATTACAAATTTACCAAATAGTACCTAGTTTGGTTTTAAAAAAATTCATATAATTTGAATATTTCTATAATTTTTTTATGTCGTGAAATTTTCAAAACTTTGTTGTGAGATAATGTTTTGAAAAAAAAAATCATTTTCAGGAAAGAAAATAACATCTGAAGAAACTATAAAAAAAAACTTCCAGATAAGTGGTTTGCTCCCAAGTCTTTTAAATTTTCTAAAAAATTCCTTTGTGTACTCTTATATTAATTTAAAGAGTTTATAATCTGCTGTATCTTATCATATTTAAATGTTGCCTATTGTTACATTCAAAGCTGTGCTTCATTGGTAATTGTTCAGACCACATGCTGTGACATCATAAACATATATATATTTTAATCTATTCCCATCAACAAATATGCTCATCATGTGTGGTTACCACCTGGGCCAGCCACCCAGGTGTAAAAATTCTTGGTTTAAAGAAAAAAAGAAAAGGCCGGCTCCATATTAGTTGGGATTAAGATTGTTATGGTGTAGTAGTTTTTGTTTGTTTTTCTTTTATCTATAAGATCACAGTACTTTGCTCATTACTATTAGCTTTGATATCATGAACAGGCCGTAACTCACATTTTACATATAAAGTCACCCCCCCCCCCACAAACTTATTTTTAGTAATCTATCCCTATTAAACAACTTATAACCTTGTATTTAAAAACATTCCTGTAATTAAAATTGTCTACATTTAGCCAGGTTTTAGTTATTTGCATTATATCAAAATCATCTGTTCCTTGCAAACAAGCCAGCCAATACCCTATTTAAAAATAAACCATCCATTCCATAAAGCTTCTTTTTCCTACTAAACTGATCCAACAAATCCAACCAGGTATAATCAATGGGTAGTAAACCTGAGTTGCCTAGAATAGCATCATACTAACAATGAAGAAAAATCACATGAGAAACAAGACACAGATAATTATATTCCCAAGGGATGATAGTTTCCTTTAGACTCAGTTATCACTGAGGTTTAAAAATGTATATAAAATACTGAAAACTAACCATAGCAATTTACTTTTTTTATTTTTTACAGAGGAAAAATAAATTCTGAGGATAAATATTTATTACTATTAGTTTCGATGATTAGCAAAGCCTGTAAAATTTATATATGTGATCTGATAAGACATACAGCTGAATCCTCAGAATAACTATCACATGTGTCTAAATAGGGAAGCCAGCATCCCATCTACAATTTGTGGAAGTGCAGTACCCACTTTGCCCAACAAATTTTAAAAGAATTATTCTAAAATGAATTTGTTAGTTGGAAGTGAAAAACTACGAAGATAAAATGAGGTAAAAAAAACCCCAAAGTTCATAAGAAAGTAAATAATTAAAAACTATATATTTTAAACTTGTCTTTTTTCCCCAAATTTCATCTTGGCCTACACTACATCAAAATAGGCTCTAACTGCCACCCAGAGAAGCATAACCCCGAAACCCTCCTGACAAGGAGCATGATTCATTTTCAACATTGTCCAATCATCCACATTTCATTTCCAATCCATATGTCTATGTACTACAAAGCAGTTGTAGCAAAAAAAGGTATTACACTATTGTAATTGGTTATCGTACACAAACAAATTATAACAATTTACACTTAAGTTTTGATTATAAATTTGACATGCCTAGTAAACTGAACCTGAAAAATATTTACAGAAAAATCAAAGGGTAATCACTTACTACATCTTTATTTAAGTCACTGCATACACATTATAAACATAATTTTAATTTTCGTAATCCATTTATATTGTACATCACATACCTCATCTCTCTGCTGTTCCCTGACCTTTTCCCTCCTACTTGCATCCTCTGCTTGCCACTTCCATGCTTCACATGCCTGGAATGTTCACATGAACTCCTGAGTAAGTTTTGTAATGAAAAATTACTAAAAAACAACTAATTATTAGGAAGATAAGAAAAACAAAATTTGTACCAAACTTGTATAATGTCTCTAATGAACCACTGTTTGAGGTTACACGCATCAGTGTTTCTTGTTCTTCAGGTGTGAAACTGTGTGTGTCTCAGCAATTTACAAATTAAATTGACACACTAATAAAACTAAAGTTTAAAAGATTAAGTGTGATTGTGTCTCCATTTTTAATGAAGCGAGCACACAGCATGAAAAACTTCTCGTTATACAGCAATGTACATGGCAAAGCGAAAATTACTATAGTTTTATGAACTGGTATTATACTTTTGATACTAAAGAAAACATTATGAAGACAACAGAAATCAAATGAACTGTTTCAGAGTAACAGTTAGAATTTATGTTGCAAATGAAACAATTGTTTAGTCACTTTTAACTCATCCTGTATTAATAGTGTCATAACTATACAATATTAATAAGATTAAGAAAGTTAATTCAAATTTAATAGCAAATCAGCTTCTGGTTCTCAATATTTTAATCTACATTTTTTTGTGTGTGAAAATTGTCAGCTGTACAATATTTACATTTTTATCATCAGGAATATGATTGTTTATAATCTACATTCCTAAAACAAAAGTTTAGAACTTCATAATCTATAAAAATTATTTTTAACACTGTAATTTTGAGCAAACAAATATATTTCTTTGGTAGTTTATATAAAAAAATTGTTGTGTTGAAATGAGAAATAAATTGTAAGTTATTTCATGTTCAAAATCAAATCTTTCATTATAATGCCCTACTACCTTGCTTCATTCCAAAAAATGTTCAAATACATAGGGCAAAACTCAGACAGTGCATATCTTGTTCAAACATATTCTAATCAACTGTTATGTAGTGTATTATCACTTTACATTTCATTCACTATTAGCTCACCAGCTTTAAAACAGTGTTTCTTGTGTTAACACAATCAGCTTATTAAAATGAAACCAATGTTCTGACATTAAGACACTCAGCTCATCAAAATTAAACTGACACTGTTACACTAACATACTCCAATATGTCACCCATAAGTTTTTAAATAATTCTTAGATTAACACATTTCAGATCATTACCAACTTTAATTCTTACATTAACACATTCAGCTCACCACCAACTTTTAAAATAATTGTTATATTAACATACTTGGCTCACCATCAACTTTTAACTAATTATTATATTAATACACTTGGCTCACCAGCAACTTTTAACTAATTATTATATTAATACACTTGGCTCACCATCAACTTTTAACTAATTGTTATATTAGCACACTTGGCTCACCATCAACTTTTAACTAATTGTTATATTAATACACTTGGCTCACCATCAACTTTTAACTAATTGTTATATTAATACACTTGGCTCACCATCAACTTTCAACTAATTGTTACTACAGCTCATCATTAATTTTAAACTAATTCTTACATAAGCACACCACCAATTTTAAACTGGTTTCTTATGTTAACATACGTAGCACTAACTTTAAACTTGTGTTTCAACACATTTCTCCTATCAATAACTAAGGTTTCTTATCACCATATTTATTCACTTTTTTTGTCACTGTACATAACTCTTCTGAAGATAAGTAATATAATCTGAAAAACCTGAATGGATGTGGAAAGGTTAATATGTTCTAAGAACTGAAAAACCACTCTTAGATTTTTCTTATGATGTACCTCACTTGGCAACAGATGTTCATTAACATGAACTCTCTCTCCTAAATAGCCATTATGTATTTAAATAAAATGTATTTTATATTTGTGTCAATTGTCTTTGTGGTGTTCCTGGCTTTACTAAAGATCATAAACATCAACTTGTTTGATTAGTTATTAATGAAAATAAAAAGATATATTTCATATTGATGTCAGTTTTATTTTTACATAGCATTCCTTAACCCAAACTGCATTAGGTGCTAAGGTTGTAAAAAATGATCAGTATTAGTGTTTAATGTTGGTACAAACTAATAAGATTGTTTTTCATATCATAAATAATTTTCATAATGTATCATTAAAGTAACAAAGAAACAAAAATAACTATAAAATAAGAACAGAAATAGCTGCTATATGAATTTTGATCATTAAAATGTAACTGGCATGCTAAGCTTACAGTGGAAGTTCAATATACCATGATATGACTGGAACCTACTGACTGAAACGTACAACTTACTAATAAATGAGGAAGGAGGGGGAGCAGTTTGTGGACGAATTTCTATAATATGGGTCACTTACCATTCTCAATTGATTATATCCTTCTTCCATTGTGGCTAATTTGGTTCTGCTAACATGCTCTTCATGTAACCTATGAACTTCAGTGAGACCAGAATTAACTGAATGAAATGAAGACACATTTGACAAAAATGGAGAAGTGGGAGCACCTCCTACTCTATTATTTGGAGACATAGTTTGGGAGGCAGTATAATCACAGACTCCAGATCCAGGGAAGTGTCCATACTTTGTGTTATCAAAAGAACTTGGATGACCATAGAAAGCTGCAGCAGCCTTGAAAAAGGAAAGGAAATAAAAGAGAAATAATAGCTTTTTTTTCCTTTGGAAAACATTTAAAAATCTTTAAACAGTGTCTCCCTGCTTTTTTTTTCCCCTGCTTTTTTTGCTGCTGTCATATCATCCCTGTCATTGTGACACAAAGTTCTAATATTTTTCCAACTATAAATTTCTTCAAAGAAAATGTAATATTTTAAACAATGGAACTTAAATCATTAAGAGAGTGTAAAACAAATTCCATGAATTCTCAAATATATTTTTTGGATTAGAATACGAACAAAGTAAGAAATGTACTACACTCAAGCAGCACTTGTGCAAAAACAAACAAACTGCGTGGTTGTGACATATTACTTTCTGAATAACGTGTACTATGTGTTGAATATAACACCATATAATCTTATTTTTATACATTATAGTGTGAGAGTAATATTTCCGTAACTAGTATTTTTATAGAAGAGCCTAAAACTGGAAGCTATGATACTGATATCATATATAAATAAAAATATGTATATACCAGTTATAAGAATAATCAATATTACACAATACAATTTAAAAAAAAAAATCTAGTAATTTTTCAATAACTAATATTAAAAATATATGTCTTAAACAGTTATATTATTATAGTACTTGACACTACAGCAACATGCTAGCATAAAAAAGAGTATGAAGAATTGAAGGTTTATTTATCTTGTATCACAGTTACTCTGATAGATAATTGTTCTGTGGATTATCCATTGTGATTTTCTTTAAATACAAAAATATACGATGAACTATCTGTAACGTTCCAACCACAGGTCTCAAACCTTGTATTTTAGCATTATAAGTTCTCAAGCTTATTACTGAGCCACCAAGTCATGGATTATCTGTAACATTAACAAAACTGTCTTGCACAGTAATGAACAGGGAGGTCGACTGGTTTTATTTAGGTCTATACTAATGTTATAATATTTCCTGTATTAAGTTAATGTAATACCATCACAAAGTTTATTAGATTTTTGACTAGTGATCACAAGACTTTATCTTCAAGAATGGGAAACACTTTTTTTTTTATGCACTCAACTATTTTTACACTTAAACAAGGTTGTAAAGAAACCACTTGTTTGCATTCAGCTACTGCTGCTTAGACCCAGCTATTTTTTTTAGTGGATGATTATTACCTGGATTCTCAATATGGCTAGAAAGTTCTACAAGAAAAAAGTTGTCTAAATATATATATACATAAAATAATAAGTGTGTATCTAAGAATTCTTCTGAGAACACAGCTGGTCCACAATCAATAATTTATAGAGTTTAACTTGGAAGAATAATAAGGCATGCTCTCATGTGCCTTCAACAGATGATACTGAAAAGTTGACTCAACAGTTTGGTATGCTTACCAGATGTATAGATAATGAAATTAATTTTCCAATTTCTCCTGTATTTAGTAAACATACTGTTAAATGCTTGTATATCTAATTCCAAACTTGAAGACAGCTTGATACTTTAAAACACACACACAAAAACCCATTCAACCAGAATTGTTTTATTACTTCAAAACAACTTCGTAAGCACTAAATGGCATGCTAAAAAACTTCTCTTTTTCATAAAATAATTCAAAAACTTTCCAAATTATGGTTTAAATGCCAAAAGTTAGCAAAGCATTGGAAACCAATAGGCCTAACAACAAAAAACCTGCAGCTTACATGATTTTTTTTTTTAAATCACAAATGTTAGGCATACTGAAGTCAAAATTTTACCTTATCCAATGAGTGTTCAGGTCTTGATCCAACAACTGCATGAAGAACAGCAGCTCCTCCCATGGGAAGACTGTGAGGAAGAGACCCGAGGGGAGAAGTAACAGGAGGAGATAAGTTACCCAGTCTACTGTGATCATGAATACTATCACTACCAGGAATATTTACTGGTGCTGAACTGCCCAGAATTCCTTAAGAATAAAACAGTGGGTTTATTTGTGAGACATGTACATCATCTTAGTATCAGATAAAATATTTTATCACTATAGTACATTTAAACTTAATGTCAATAGTTATTCAATGCAATTTTTTATTCATCAAAACACTAAATATTATTTTCTTAAAGACATATTCAAAGACAAAATGAATAAAACATTATGAGTTCACTAACAATGGAGATGATTTTTGGATTTGCACAGAGAATCAGCTTTTAATTTTTTCTGTGCTTTACTATATCCTATACATTTCCCAGATCTATTTGAAACTCCCTATGTAATTTTGAGCAAAAATAAGAAAAGAAAAAAGCTTTATATCCAGAAGTCATTGACCAATCGAGAAAATGAGAAATTGTAGACATCTTAGAATGCCAAACTTATTTGAGCAATCTTGTTTCTTTAAAAGTTTCTCTAAACAAGGGATAAAAATCTCACAACTTAGTTTTCAACAAATACTTGAAACATTTTACTTTTATTTTCAAATCAGACATGATTATGAAATATCCTTGAGAAAAGTGTAAGGTATTACTAAAACAGGCCAGCTAGCTTTATTTTACAATCTGATATTTAGTGTAAGTACAGAATTTCTTTATTTTTCTACCTCCAACAATTATAGGTTTATTTTGTTGATAGGTTTGTACTCTTCAAGGTTTAATTTAATTTTAATTGGCAGAAAGAAAAGGATTTTATGACTAGTGGTGTGATCAATCAATTTTGAAGCAAAAATAAAATCAGCAGAGCAACTACAGAAAGTATATATATATATTATCAAATCATATTTTCTTTTAATGGTGTTTGATTTTATTGTGTGAATTAGTACTATTGTTTGTTTTCTGATATTCACAGAAACTACTCAGTTATGAAACTAACATAAAGGTAGCTAGCGAACAGTATCCACTACAAGCTCTTGGGCTACTCGGGGTCTGACCAAGTAGTGAAATCTAAACAACCATGGCTTCAATATGCAGAGCTTGATTTTTTTATTTTCTTTTGCAGTAGTTGGAAGCAAAAGATAAACTGCAGAGCCACAGACAGCCACACTAACCATTAGGCCATGCTCAGCCTAAATTATTATTAAAAAATATAATTATGCACACAAATTTACATAACATGTACTTTTTTTTAAGATATATATATATATATATTATGTCAATAACATTTTTGTTTCCCTAAACATTTCTTTTCGTGATATCTCATTTGTAAATTAAGTTAAATTTTTCTCACTAGTTTTAGAGCCATACAAGAAACAATTTAATTACTGTTTCTGTACAGGAAACAAATTTCTGCATTTTTGACTACAATGTTCCTAAGCAAATATTTCACATAAAATGTGTGTTCACTTAATAAAATCTCATTGATAAATTATATTATAAATTATATATAAATTATATAAGAAAATTATATTAATCACATACCAGAACTAGCCAGTCCAGCTGATAATGAAGAACTGACAGGGTTAGCTTCACATTCTAATTCTTTATCTATGGATGCTTCAAAATTAATGTCATCAAGGTTCAGATCATCTAAGGCATTGCCTAATTTAAAAAGTACAAATCCCCTGACTATTGGAGTATTCAACAATATAAAACTTATATTAGTTTAAGTGATTTTATGATATGCATAAAAAACAAATACAAAACAAAGTTATTAATAAAAAGTATCCAATCTGGGTTAAACTATATTTGATCAATATGAAAATGTAAAAAATTCATCATCATACTGTTATAATCATACGTTATTGCAACACTACAACAAAAGTTTATCACATTCAACATTTTAAATGATAATCATCTCAACTTCTTTGAGACTCAATAACCTATGAAAAAATTTTAAGAGTGATTCATCTCCACTTCCCTCTCTTTTTTTTTCAGGAAGCTTGTAGTGTGTAAATTAAAAACACCACATATTGTTATATGCATAAGAAACCTTGACCATATCTCCCACAAACTAACTAGCTACTATCCAAAGAGTAACAGTTTTAGTTTTTAGAAGAACTATTACTAACAGAGCTTGTCACAAGAAAACACGAGATCAATGTGAGAAAGCACAAGTCTACATATTTTAATTTTAGTTAAAGTCAGCAGATGTATGTAGTAACAGGACCCCATTAAAAAAAACGTAAATATCTGAAAACATTCACAACTTATCAGCAATAAGACGTTTTTCACTCAAGGTATTGATTTGTTCTACTGACCATTCTACAAAGGTGACCTACCTTTTTCTTTAATTTGAAAACTTGTTTAAAAATATAACTGAGGCAATATTAGGCTCAAAGATTAATATCTCCTAAAAACAAACAAAAATCAAAGCTAGTAAATACAAGTATTATTGTGACAAGACTTAAGAAAAACACACGAAGAATTTATTACATCCTACAAACTGATATAAAATAGTATCCATTTTTTTTATAACTTTTTTCCCTGCTTCCAGTAGCCTGAAACATGAAAATTCTAGACAATTTTATCTTTCCCCTGAGAAAACTTCCAGTACGAAACTGTATGCTAAAATATTAGGTTTTGGAATTTTAATAAACTACAACTGCTTGTTGAAAGAAAAGGAGGCAAAATTTCAGCTTCTATACTGAAGCCTCAATATAGAAGCTGAAAAAACATCTCCTTTTCATTCAACAAGCAGTTGCAGTCCATTAAGTTTCTAAAACATATTATGTCTACCTAAAGTTCCACTGAAATATCCTAAAATATTGTCCAAACAAAAGCACTTTAAAACTATGACATTTTTTGATACTGGAAACAATTTACCATATATTATATATATATATGCTTACTGATGAAACATTATTCCATTTGAAAGAAACACATGTTACAGAAAATGTTTTTCCTCAATAATATTGATGAAAGCTTCAAGATATAAAAATCCACTTCACCTACCTACAACAGACTCAACTGTATTCACTGCTGTAGGATAAAATGAGGATGCTAAAGAGACACCTTGGGATAAAGAGGATACCAGGTGGCTCAGGTTAATTCCAAGAGCTAAACATATACTTTGTTTACGGCGAGTTTTTTCAATAACGTCTAAAGAAGGATCATTATCAATAGCTTCAAACTGTTTCCTAAGAGTCACCTACAAAAAAGTAGTTATATGAAAGAAAAACTGTAATCTCCATTTCCCAAAAAACAATAAGATAAACAACTTTTTTTTTTTTCATTTTGAAATTACGTGATTATCAAAAGCAACAGTTTAAAAAAAATACCCTTTTATTTATCAACTTGCAACAATCTCACATTTCCTGATAGTACTGGGGCATCCCACCTTATCAAACCCAAAATCTATAGCTGGGGGTTAAGCAACACTTTAAACTGTTAGAGAATAATTAAATAATGAGACAAAGAGGTTGTAGCTAGGAATTATTCTGTACCTTATACTTGATGTCACTACTGAAAGTTTACATTTTCCAATACTGAAAATGTATTTCCAATAATACTTACCTCCGCTCAAACTTTATCTTTATCACGACAAAAGGTTTTCTTCTTTGTCCATCTAAGCATTGATTTGAATTTCACCTCACTTGCTCCAGTCTTTATACCCCACTATATCGCCCCTAGTGATTTTAATTTTGTGACTCTTTCCACCTACGTCACTGCACCCTCTATACCCGATCCATATATAAGCTCCTTGTTATTCTTTCTTATTCACTTCTTCGAGACTAGCAAGATTATCAGACCCGAACACCGGCTATCATGTGGAGGAAGGGCAGGATAGTATTATTGATAATACATTTTCAGTATAAGAAAAGGAGAGAGCAGAATCCAATAACATAGATAAAGTGGAAGTCAATAAATGACTAAGATCCTTCGACATTTGAGCAGGGTATCTGTAATACCCCTCAGACAACAGTTATAAAGATGAAAAAGAAATGCAAAACTGTTGTAAGTGGCAGACGAATTTTGGAAACAATTAGATTAATTAAGATGAACAGTTGCATCTTGTCTAGAGCCCCAAATAGGATGCAGAAGGTCTAATCTCTGGGAGTCCAAATAAGGGTTCTCCAGGCAATGGAAAACCAAGCCATGCTGATCCAATAAAGAGGAGGTCAAAGCATGGCAACACCCTCCCTCAATTGATCTACAAAACTTCTTGCATGTAGAGCAATGTCTGGCAATTGTGGAAGGACCAGGTAATCAGACAAACTAGTTTCTTCCAATAAAGAAGGTGAAGATTCATAAGCCACAGAATAAATACTAAAAACGTTACAAACATGCAGGAGGCAGAATGTCCATCTGAGGTTCATAAGTAGCTGTTTGAGCAAAGGAAGGTGCTGGAAAAATTGTTTAAGTTCTCACTAGTCCACCCTTGATCTCCCACAAACTCAGCCTCAGAGCCAACAGGAGAAAAAGCATCAGATCACATATAAAACTCTATCTCTCTCTGTATAAGGAACTGTATGAGTTAAGTTGATGTGATATAATACACAGATACTCATTAAAATGCTATTTGTGTTGTAGTAATTACTTATTATTTTCAATAATAAAAGATACATTAAATGCTTAATTTTGCACTATTATATTATTGACTCTACCCTAATCGCTTGTGCCCCACAATTTGAGAAAAGCTGCACTAAACCATACAAATATTCCATGTTCTGAGTTGGCCTATTCCACATATGACAGTACATTTTCTAAAAATTACATAATGATTTATGCTTACCAAATAAATGCACTGGGTCCTGAGTTTGGCTATTCCACACATGACAATGCATCTTGTAAACTACATAATGATTCGTGTTTACCAAACAAATGCTCTGTATCTGGAAGTGGGCTATTTTACATGACAGTAGATACTGCAAAAGCTACATAATGTATTATGTTTACCAAAAGAATGCTCCATGTCCCGAGTTTTGCTATTCCACACATAACAGTATAAAAAGATACATAACGAACTTTCATTATTTCATTCAACTTTATTTATCTTTATAAAATAAGTTTCCAGGTGAAAAGAAGAAAAATTATGAGTAAGAGGAGAGAATATTTAAAAAAGAAAAGAAAAAATACAAACAAGAAGACACAACAATGGAAGTTTAGTATGTGAATAATTCACATAAACTTGTGATCGAGAAGGACCTCCCACACAGTACATAAAATGTTAATGATGCTACATGATGTTGAAATAATTATTAAAATTAATTTATTTCTACTTCAAGGATTCTCTGGATACCTGACACGATGACAGCTACTTTAACATACATTTAAGTGTTATTTCTTGTCAAATGCATAAATATACATTTGATAAATAATTAACTTTATTTTTATTCATTCAGAAATAACCAAATGAAAATATCTTGCACAACTATAATTCAAAGTTAAATTTTAGGATAAAGTAAAATTCATTTCATTCACAGTGTTTATCTTAGCATTAATATATATCTTCTTCCACCCATTGAATACTGATAAGAATTAACACCCAAAGCCTTGTCACACAACACTGAATAAGAATCTACGACTCCATTACATAACATACTCCATATAAACATCTTGCTTTCACCATAAAGTGACCAAGGACTTCAAAACCTTAATAAAAATAATATCAGCAATCAAAAATCTTGTACCCTTGTCAAAAAAAGCAGCAGCAAATTTAAAGTTTTGAGTGCATATATACATACCTCTCGATCTTCTCTTTCAGACCCTGGGGCCTTATGGTAAGAAATTAAAGAATCACCAGAGTGATTAGTTGACGAACTGCATGATCGAGGCCGAGCTATTGGTGTAGGTAATGGATTAACAGGTGTGAAGACTATACAATCCATTGATAACTAAGAAGAAAAAGATGAAAAACAACAACAACTAAAATTTAGTCTTTTCTACTTATTCCTTTACATTTTCTGGCATTAACCAAATACTAATTGTTGTTTTAACTTAAAGACCACAATATATTTTTTGTTAAGCAACCATATAAAGGATATCACCTTGCTCAGCTTTTTTACAAAACCTATTATAATGGCCTCACCATGAAGTTATTACCATTTACATTTTATTCACATTAATACCTCAATTTTCCTAATCTATAGGAAAAACAAAAAAATGTCTTTACTACTAAATATGTAAATCTTTCATATCATTCTTACCCCATCAATTACTGTTGCTTCTGTTGATGTAGTCGATACTAAATGCTGTGAAGATCCTTCTATTTCATTAGTGTGGACTTCATTTTTCTGAGTTTGGGAACTCTCTCTTTTACTTATTGTCTGTCAAGGAGTAAAAAGCTTTACCAACAACAATCTTCAATATTTTATTTTATATTAAACAATGTTTCTCTGTGTAACACACAAACTTTTTATTAGTAGAACATGCAAGTTATTTGATTCCTTTGTAATTACACTAAATTTTCTGATTAATTACTTCATAACTTTTATTTTCTCCCGAAAGGAAACTAATGTTTAAAAAATTAAGAACTCTTTTTTTTTCCTTTCAGTTATATATGCATTAAAATATATCTTCTAACAAATTTACTGAAAAATGCTTGATAATATTAGATAATTAAAATGGATAAAAATAAAATTTTTAGTGTTTGAGCTTTGACATCATTCTTATTATAAAGATTATCATAAAATTATTCGCCATTAACATATTTATGAAATAGCAACTTCCCTTGTAACGTTTCATGACATACTTTTAATTTTTTGAGGAACTAAAATCTAAAATTTATCATTGCAAAAAAAATCTTACATTCTCACATTATTGATATTTAAATAATCTCTTCCCTAATATAGTAAACTATGGCATTATATAGTTACTGGTACACTTACAAACTTACTAAAATACCCTTTTTTTGAAATATTAAATGTTCAGTAATAAAAAGGTAGGATAATTCTTTAACTAATACCACCATTTATTTATTGATAACTCTGACGTAAAAATGATTAAAATGTAATAAGAATCTAAACTGACACTGAAAAATTTGATTTTTGTATTTCACTTTCACAGAACTGATACATGATTCACATGAATGCTAAATAACACAAGTAGTAATTTTTACAAAATAAACCACAAGAGGAAACTCGATAATTAAGTTTATAAGTTATAAGTCCTCTGTTACAGCTTATACAGCCATGTAAAATATTTTAGATACCATTAACTTACATCAGTTTATTAAGTAAATGAATCATATCATCTACACTTTTCGTCACCAGTTTACATGGGATTAGAAACATTCCAAATTTATAAAACTAAAACATTTTTTTTACAAGCTAAAATAATTTGGCAAACTATGAATCACATTATTTTACATAAAATACACTATGTCCACCATGGGTATCAAAACATGGTTATTAATGATATGAGCCTTCAGACTTATCACTGAGCCACTGGGGAGCACATTAATATGATTTACTTTGAGGTGATAAAATGCATGAACTATAAATAAAAAATGGGAACCAACAAAATAGCCCCATCTATTTGGTAACTGTAATCTAAACCTTCACATTTTGCTTTAGCACGTCATCTGTAATATATGTTTCTTTCTATAAATAATGCTAAATTCAACACTTACTATAATTTAACCAACTTTGTAATTGTCTAAAGAAAAGTTATTGCAATAATCAGATAACTTGCCAATGTTGACATCTTAGGACTGAAATGAATAAGTTGTTTCAAAATGATCCAAAATTTTATAAAACAAACTCACCAATATTGTTTGAGACTGAGAAGGACTAGCTGATGAGCTAGGTGATAGAACATTTGACAAAATGGCTGCCAAGTTAGTAGTACTGTCGAGTCCTAAGTCACGTACCTCAGAAATTTCTTCTGTAAGAACAAGAGAGAAAGAGAAGTTCTCCTTTTTTTAAAAATTGATACATGATTCATGTTTTATTTTTTATTACGTTTTGTTATAGACCACAAGTTGAAATTCTGATATGCTATTCGTAGAACCTAAAAACATTTCTTGCCAAAATAAATCTGAACATCTATAATACTTCTTCCTTTCTCTAATACTGTTTCTAACAATTTCTGTAATATTTATAATACTTTTGTTGTTTTTGGTTCAGTTATACAGATGGTGTATACTGTGCATGATGTTTCACTGTAAAATAAAACAATAAAACAGCATGTATAGCTAGTGTTGCAAAGGTTTAACACTAAACAAGACAAAATTTAGAACTCTGATAATTCTAATTGAAACTAAATACATATAATTTTACTCTCTTTTTCTATATGTAAAACAGAGAAATTAAATCAAATGAACAAACCTCAGTATCTTACAAGCAGGACTTTTATTTTCTATGTCATATTAAGATTAGCAAAAAAAAACCCAAATATTGTTGAACCTTCCTTATAGGGTAGTTTCTCTCAACAGTTATGCTTCAATACATTAATTTCAGTTTTAAACTGCAAATTATTATTAACAGAAAATTTCAGCAGGCTGTTGAACCATAAATACATGCATTACTTAATCAAAAAATGCAAAATCGGATTACTTTCCAAATCAGCAACAAAAATATTCCTTAAAAGAAAAAAAAAGAAAACTTAATAAATAAGAGGTTACATAATGCACCACTGTGAACATTGAAAAACAAAAAGGCTTCATAGCAAATACATATTGAGAGTATCACAATTATTCATACAAGTAGATAAGACATTAGCAAAGGAGCTTAGGAGTAGTTTAAACTCTATAGAAAAATACTGATGAAAAGCAAAAACATACTATCAACATGAGCAAATGCACAGAAGGGGCCACGAGGACAGTATCCTGTTTGCTGGATATCATTACATTTTGTTGATTTGTAAATCTGCAAAAAAAATACTAACATTAGATGCATCAATAACTTCTAATCTTAACCTTCACTAAACAAACAGCAATAAATGAATAATTAGTATTATCACATAATCATTTACCCCACTATCCACAAATTATGAATTGTATACTTTTAAATACTTATCAGATAACAGTTTTTATAATCGCCTTTCAAGAGTTCCCCTTGAATGAAACAATTTCTACTAATAACAGGTAAAAATCAGTAGTCAAAAGACTAACTACTGCTGCTAATAATATATACAAAATCAATAGTCAAAAGGCTTTTTCTACTAATAACAGGTAAAAAAAATCACTATCTGCTACTGCTAATAACGGATACAAAATCAGTGGTCAAAAGGCTTTTTCTACTAATAACAGGTAAAAAATAACTATCTGCTACTGCTAATAACGAATACAAAATCAGTGGTCAAAAAATTAACTGTTGCTAATAATAATAGCCATAAAATCAGTATTCAAAACACTAACTGCTTCTACTAATAGCATGAAGTAAGTCCCAGTGATAACAGATTAAACCTTTTCATTCTCTAAAAGCTCAAAACATTTGTAAACAATTTTATTTGTACTAGTAAATTCTCCATAAAATTCTAAAGAAACAACAAATATTCTGCCCCTTTGTCTTGAAAGTAATTTACATGTTATTATCAATTTTCAAGTAAATTCATATAATTAATCCCGAGAGTCCCCAAACTCCCTTTATATTCCATTTGAGGGGCCCCAATATACAGTCTACAAACATAGATACTAATTTTGGATGACTTCTTATATGTATAAGTCAATTTCTAGGTAAACCTGTGGATCCAGTCCTGACAGCCTTCAAAACCCCTTTGACCCTACTTAGAGTTTCAAATTTGAAAATTTTCAATAAATTTATATTGTTATTTTGAACAACTACTTACATGTTAGTACAAATTTTCAAGTAAATCAGTTCACAAAATTGACAGCCCCCAGAAACCTTTGATTCTTGTAGTTTCTGGGGCTCTTTCATGACTTTGCAAAGGTAAAGAGCATATACATGCAAAACTTCAAGTTATTTTGACAAAACACGGGAAAAGTTCACACAAAAACATAGACTGGTATAATTGAGAATACTATATAGATTATAAAAGCAATGAAAAAATTACAATCTCAGTTCCTACTAACAGAAGTATTATATGTGTGATCAATATGTCAGAATACCTTAACCTGTTAAAATCAATAAAATAACAAGTCCTTTAAAAAAGAAATCCTATTTGTCTTTTGCCTTATGCTCTAAATGTATTTATCACCAACTTTAAAAAGCTTTAATGTCAATGTTCTTACATCTGGATGAAATTGCTGTTCTGTGCGTGTATGACAATAAGGACAGTTCTCTCCATTTTCACAGTTAGCAGGGTCACCCCATTCATCTGCCTGTTTAACATTAGGACATGGTGTTGACCTGAAAAGTTGGAAATTATAAAACCCAAATGTTAAAATTGTTCAGAAAAACATAATTGTTTATGTTATTTTTTGTAAAAAATGGTTCAAAAATAATTTCTTATAATATTTAAGGCACTGAAATAATGTGTATCAATGTTTTTTTTTGTTTCTGGGCAATCTAAATTCAGTATTATGCATACAAAAAAAAGCATAATAAAGTTGCACATTTACAGGGTAATGTAACATTAACATCACGTACAAGTTTCTTCAAACGTAGTTTTAAAAAGAAGGCCTGATACTCCAGTCAACAGAAAAAAAAATGCAGTTCCAATTTAGAAGAAAGCTCTACCTTTAAAAGCAATCTTAGGATGCCAGGTTTTCTATTTAAGACTGAATTCTGTGTGTGTGATATCTTCAAGTTGTCATGAGTAATAAAAAAAAAGAACCCTTCCTTCGTCTCACCTGTATGTATGTTTCTTAGGACTTCTTCTTCGATCCCGATTGTTGTGGTACTGAGGACAGGCATAACCTTGTCTACATAACCTAGGAGGTCGTTTACATGGTTCTGTCTTATAATTGGCTAAAACATAATTAGAATCTGAAAACATGCAAAAAAACAACAATCACATTTTATCTTAAAGATAAAATTAGCTTTTTTACCTTAAAACAATTTGTAGACTACATAACATTTTAAGCAATGTATATGAGCCACCTTTTTACGTATTCTAAGTTTTTTCATCAAAATATTTAATTCACTCTGTTTCTGCTGATTCATTTAACAACTCACAAAACCTGGTTATTATCATAAATCAAATAGAAACATACATATATGAACTTTGATGGCAGAAGGAAAACATTACATTTATCTTAGATTTGTTCAATATGCACCTAAAAACATGTCTGCCTTCAACAACTGTATTAATAAAATACATATACTGTTATGAAGCTGTTGAGATTTTGTCACAGTTATCATCTTTATCTTTAATTAATATTTGTCTGTGTGTGAATGGATTTATGAAGATGTCAGGGTTTTATCATAGTTTATTAAGTTTATATTTATCAAATATTTGTTTACTAGCCGGAATACCCATCCCCTGGATGGAAGTTATGTAAATTCATGATTAATGAAAGGTTATCTTAGGACATGAAAAGTTGCTTCCCTTATATGTAATTATAAAAAACACAAAAACATCCATAAAAACTGCATAATAAAAAATATGAAACCACAAATTTGCATGTATCTCCACATGGACTCAACAAATCTTCATGCCAAATTTGTTGAAAAATCTATCAACAGGGGCAAAGTAGTGGTAACAAATGTGAAAATGCAAAAACTGCAAAACTGAATATTTGTATCTCCCCACGGGCCCAATGAACCTCCATACCAAATTTGGTGAAGATCCATCTACACCCTGCGAAGTAGTTACATGGACATACAACAGAAAGTATTTTTATATTTATATAGATGTTTGTGAAGCTGTTGAGATTTTTTCATAGCTTCTCATGTTATTTTGTAATTATTATTTGCTTTTTGTACTGGGGAATATGAAACTGTTATATTTCATCACAGTTGTTCATGTTTATCTTGTAATTAAATATGTGCTTGTATACACCTGAGTTTATGAAGTGTTTGAACTTCCATCAGGGTTTCTCATGTACTTACTATTTACTTTTGTGTATCTGGGTTTTGGAAATTTTTTAATGAACGTTCGCTGTTTTTGCTCCAAGATTGAAATAAGCAGGATGTAAAGATTTTTGTAAATTTCTACAACAGCAGTGAATTTTAGAAAATGCCCATCCATTGATGATACACCTGAGAGATCACCATATAGGTACTGCCTTATCATAAATAATGTAGTAAGTATACCAATTACACACTGCATAAGTTCTTTAAGAAAGAACTATCATACTATATTCATGTTCATGATTAGAAAATGCTTCAGTACACTAGAGTGAAACAGGTTCTCTTTCTCACACATGACACAAATCATTATCTATGATAAACCAAATTTGGAAAACCATTTTTAATCTAAGCATATTTAATGCACTGCACTGTCTATAATAAGTTTGTTCTCCAATCTACATACCTCAATTATAGTTAGCTTATCCCACAGGTATTACACTTATTACATACTAAAAAAGAAGTCAAACTTGACTGTTCAGTTTAATAATATCAAACCTAATGAGAGAAAATTATGACACACACACACATATATATATATATATATATATATATATATATATATATATATAGTTGTCGTAGTAGTGTCGCGACTACTCCTTCGTCTAGTTGAC